CTCTGGCGTGGGCTCCTCTCTCCACAGATCCACAGGTCCTGCCAGGAGCTTGCTCCAGTGTGGGGTCCTCCACGGGCTGCAGGTGAATATCTGCTTCATCATCAACCTCCTGGGGTTGCAGGAGGACAGCCTGCCTCACCATGGTCTTCTCCAGGGGCTGCAGGGGAATCTCTGCTCTGGTGCCTGGAGCACCTCCTGCCCCTCCTTCTGCACTGACCTTGGTGTCTGCAGAGCTGTTCCTCTCACATCATCTCACTCCTCCCTCTGGCTACACTTACTCCTAGTGCTTTTTCCCCCCTTCTTAACTATGTGATGCCAGAGGTGCTACCATTGTCGCTGATTGGCTCCGCCCTGGCCAGCGGTGGGGCCGTGTTTGCGGTGGAGCCGACTGGCATTGGCTCTGTTGGACTTGGGGGAAGCTTGCTAGCAGCTTCTCACAGAAGCCACCCCTGTAGCCCCTCTGCTATCAAAACCTTGCCACACAAACCCAATAAAATAAGCAAAACTGAAATGTGTGTCCCCGTTTAGCCTTACACTAAGACTGGCGAACCCATTCTTTTGGCTTCAAATTAGCATTTAATTCACTGACAGGTCCTGAGCTTGTTTAAGCTTAACTGTCTGGCATTCAGACACAAAAAAGAAGTCATGTGGTTTTTTGTATTACTTTTTTTTTTTTTTTTTACATTATATTTGCAGTGAGAATGTATTGGGGTTTTCCTAGCGTGCTTGTGCATCAGGCAGTGTTTGCTGTGAAACTGAAGCATAGCAAAAGGTGAACGCGCTTGAAGATGTGCTCCCTTTTGTTAGGTTGTCTGTGTATGGTTGTTGTAGGTATGAGTACAGACCTGTGGGTGACCAGTGTAAGCCAGAATGTTTTTACTTGGTAAATTCTATTTGGACAAGGATGCATGTCTTGGGGGAAAGCGGCAGCTGAACAGTAGAGTCTGCTGATTCTTATCTGGTTTTGGTCTTTTTTTTTTCATTTTCTTTTATTTTCAGATGATGATATCATCTTGGTGGAAAGGAGTCATCAGTGTTATTTCACTGCATGGATTTTTCATAATTCAAAGTTATTTATTTGCTACATTTTTCATTTCTATAATTTCAAAGGCTGTTTTCTTCTGATGCAAACGTGGCCATGAATCAGTCTAAAATGCAACAGGAGTCAAAATAGAGGGAGTGTGCCAGTGTTAATGAAAAAGCATTTGTGGGTTCAAGAAACATCTCCAGAGGACTGGGTTAATGTAAAAAACACCCTCCTTGTACAGACCATGCAAGTTCCTGATAGTATCTGAAGCAGATCATTGAGCCTGGTGCATGGTCCTTCAGAAATGGAATATATCTTTCACTGTTCAGATTATTTTCTCGGTTTTGGCTTGCTTAGTTCTACTGAACTGAAGAGGCATAGTTTACATTTAGTGTGCCCTTGTAAGCAAACCTTGCAGAGAGAGGATAAAGTTAGCTTCTTATGCAGGATAGGGCCAATGTTTTGGTAAATTAACCTGAAGAGAAGACAAATAAGTGAAGTTCTCAAAGTGAAACATAGGAAATGTTTCTTCTTAGTCGTGCAATACACTGCTTTGTTTTCCAGGCAAAATTAAATGCAAATCCAAGTTGATGTATGAAGAGCTCCGTTCTACCAAGAGTTTTATTTCCATCAGCTTTCTCATTATGAGAAAAATCTGTATTTGTAAACCATAAGTATCTGCAAAATGTGATCTACATATGGATAGGTCCCAGGGCAGTAACAAAGTCGCATGTTAAAATTGAGAAGATGTCCATGGAATTTCAAACTATACTCCCATTATTTTGCAGCTTGTCGACCTGGGTTCTACAAAGCCTCTGCTGGCAACGTGAAGTGTGCCAAATGCCCACCTCACAGCTCTACCTATGAAGATGCGTCTCTGAACTGCAGGTGTGAAAAGAATTACTTTCGCTCTGAGAAAGATCCTCCATCCATGGCTTGCACCAGTGAGTAGCATCATTGTGCTCGGGGCTGTCATTCTTGCTCCTCCATCTGTATCTCAGCAGCTTGCTTGCTTCCTCTCATGTCCCATTGCAGTCAGCCATCCACTGCCTCCCATGTCTTCTTACATGTTGGACAGGCTACCTAAAATTGGTGGGCTGGGTTTATGTCTTTCTATTTTAGTTTTCTCTTTCTTGTTCTCTGTCAGACTCAAGAAGCAGAGCTAGGATTTTTAAATTGCTACCAATATTTTCAGCCCTCAAACCTGAAGGTTTGCACCCTGAGAGTACTGTCTGTCTATGAGAAAACATGGTCCTTGATAGCCTAGGTCTGTGGTCCAGTGAAATGTTTCAGGAGCATCTACAGGAAATAACTAGAAGAGTTTGGTTATTTATGGTTTTGACTTTTGTATTTTTGTGCCCTTGTTTAGTCCCATTTTAGAGCACTACAGAAATTCCCATCCCTCTGATTTCCTGTTTCCCTTCATAGGACCACCATCTGCTCCAAGAAATGTTATCTCTAACATCAACGAGACGTCTGTTATCCTGGACTGGAGCTGGCCTCTTGACACTGGAGGTCGGAAGGATGTCACTTTCAACATCATTTGCAAAAAATGTGGAGGTAACATCAAGATGTGTGAGCCGTGTAGTGACAACGTGCGATTCTTACCCCGTCAGACTGGCCTCACCAACACCACAGTGACAGTAGTGGACCTTTTGGCGCATACCAATTACACTTTTGAGATTGATGCAGTCAACGGGGTATCTGACTCGAGTACACTTTCCAGACAGTTTGCTGCTGTCAGCATCACAACTAATCAGGCTGGTGAGTCTCCTTCTGATTACCCTTTCTTTGTTCAAAACTACTGAGATATATGTACCTTTGTCTCCTTTCCCTATTTTGCAGGAGGTACTCTGACCGCTTGTGTGCTGGGGTAACTAATTGGCTTGAATCTGCTAGTAAAAGTAAAAGCAGAAACAAACCCAGTGTGTGTTGCTGTCAAAGGACCTGGCAGCGTGACTGTTATGATTAACTCCCAGTCCCCAGTTAATAGACTCTAATAGCAGGCTCATATGATTCCTTAGCCAGAATGTGTTTTATTAATAAAACCAGATTTTAATAAAACACTCATTTCAATAATCTCCAACATAAATTACTGTAGTAATCTTAGTGATTAATTTTGATTAAATAGAAGTGAAAAAATGCTTTGATGTTAGACACATAAAAAGCTAACATTAGAGAGCTTTAAAATGCTGCCTTTTTTTTTTTCTTTACAAGTTGTCTCACCAACACTGAATTATTGCCAACATGATGGGGGTGTGTAGCTGAATGCTGAAATAGGTCCTGGTGTTGTAGCTGATCGTGTGCAAAGGGACTGCTCTACTTCTGTGGAGACTTATTAAAGTCATCAAGGCCCTGCGTGAGCACAGCAGCATGCCCTGACTGTCAGATCAGAGCTTTTGTCACTGCTGCGCTATTCTACCATTTGTTTCTTGTTTGACAAGGTTTCATTTATCTGAAAGATGTGAAGAATCTAGACTCTTCTCTAGTATTTGTTTAGGTACTATTTGTTTAGGAGCATTATTTGCCAGTGAGGAGAAAGACTAGATCCTGAAATTTCTGCAGTTCCTCTCCATGAGGATCACTGTGGAAGCTTTGTACTGAAAGCATGTGTGCGTGCAGCGTCTTCTCCCACCGTCTCCCATCCCACACCCTGTCCCCGAAATACATACATTTCTGTCTTCCTCAAAGCACAAACGAAGCTAACATCGTTCTAAGGAGTTGTTCTCCTAGTGAGCTATCTTACTGCAGTGTTTTTCACTAGAGAGGATATATCTCTTCTGCTCAGATCACAGATCAGCTTTAGTGGGAGGCATAAAAATGTAAGAACAGACTGCTTCCCGACAGCAGTCACTACATTTCCAAATGCTCTGGAGGACTTTTTAACTATGCAGTAGGCAGAGAGAAGTGAATCTACCCAACTGAAGCATCTTCACATGATCTCTTTCTCAGTTAGGCATTAACTTCAGCTCTGAAGCATGTATTTTATGTCCATTCCAAACAATTTGCTACTGTTATAGTTACATTTTTTGGATATTTGTGTCAGCAACTTGAGCAGCCTTTGTTTAGTTGCTCTCTTTTCTTCTGGTTTTTTGGGGGGTTGGGTTTTTTTTGTTTGTTTGTTTTATATCAGAGATAACTGCCTTTTCATCACCATAGCAGTTAGAAATCACCTGGAGACACTCTTTAGAATGAACTCTGTAGGATCAGTGAAAGGTATTTCTCTGCAGCGGCCTCCTGTGCTTCCCCAGGTCCCAGAGCTGGCTGCCTTTACACCGCGATGCAAGGTGGATTTTTATTTTGGTTTAGAATGCATGGTTCCTGTGATGTGGCAGAGACAATGCATTTCTGGCAATAGCAGCTTTGTTTAATACAACCCACAGGGTGCTTAAGCAATTTGTTTGTTTTCTACTTTTATGCATAGCCCATTTTTGCTTTAAGTACATTTAAGGGGTGTGGGTTACTACAGGCTTAATTGTGCTATCTCTTGATCGTGCCGATTGGTTTCCTATATTAGAATTCTCCTAGAAGTTCCGCAAGTTGCTAAAATTGGACCTTAAATATGTATATAAGTCATCTTTTAAAGCATAATTACAAAAAATGCAATTTCTCTTGCATTCCCTTCCTGGTTAGATCACAAAAGCTTAGATCACCAGAAGCCTATTTTTAGCCAATGTCATACTTAAACACTTGGGCGGGGGTGGAGGGAGCAAGTCTGGAGATCTTAGATTACATTATAATTAAGGGTTTAAATGGGGAGTGTTTCAAAAAAGAGTGAAAGCACCACTGAGCTGGACCTGGAAGAGACCAAAAGACTCCAAAAGCCAGTTGTGACTCTAGGGCTATTATTTGTGCTATCTGACTTTAGGTGGGTTCCTTCAAGGACAGAGGTACCCACCCGTTGGGTCAAGCTGTGGTTAAATGACTGAGCTCTGCTGGATTCACGTGGGAGAGGTGTGTTGCTCTGGGGGGTTGTTCTGTGGATGGGGTATCACCTGGGGTGACACAGTCCAGTACGGCCGGCCAGGGCCAGGGGACAGAGACCCTGGGAAGGCGGCAGGAGGAACAACGTCAGTCAGGAGGCTGCGAGTTTTGGAGAGATAGAAGGTCCCTACAACCTGGATCTCCTCAGTCTCTCCTGAATCCAGGCTATTTCACTTCTGCCAACTTTGATTTGAGAGGCCTGTACCCTTGCAATGGGTAGGATGAAGCTGCAGTTTTGATCCTGGATTGTCAGTATCCATGTGCTTTTTTCAAGCGTCATCAGGGCCCATCCCAGCTTAGTGAAAGCTGTTCTGCAGAATGTTCCTCACCCACCCAAAACACTGGTTGGTCAAGTATGTGGGTTTCCAAGATCCTGAGGCAGAACTGCAGAATGTTTTATATTTTCTAATGACAAAAATGTTATTTTTGTGGCAGTTCTCTTGGTGGTAGAAATCAGCCATTGTACATCATTTCTTCAGATGAACTCAGTTCGATACAGGCATCAGTTGGCGTCATGTTTGCTGGGTCTCTGAGTGCCAAAGGCCCGCTGAGAATTGAACAACATTTATTTCCATGTTTCTCACTGCACATATGGTCATTTCTGCCTATGAATCTATCACCAGCCTAATAGATCATAACATGCATATTACTAATTTTCTATAATGCGGTGATTGGGAGATCTGCCAGAGAGTATTAAAATAAATTCAGCTGATAAGTTAGGAGTCAGTCAGTTTGCACAGCAGCTCCGTTTTTGTATGTAAACACATCATATACACACATGCGTACACATGTTTGTAATTTACATGTACACATAGATATATACACAGACAAAAAGGGTCACCTTTGCTGAAAAATTTGTTGATACCTTTACATTGACTCTGAGTTTTAGAATCTGTAACTAACAATCTCAACATGATTTTCCTGGAGAATTTTCAAACCTGGTCTAGAAATAAAGGAAAGGTGTGCTTTCTTGTCACTTGTAATGTTTCAAAAACCCAGACTGATTCTGCTGGTGCTGTGAAAGCAAGAAAGATAATACATTTTACAGTACAAAACTGTTGCAAAGCCAAGATGCAGTCCTCTGAACTGAGGGAAATTCCGAATCATTTGGGAAAATGAATTGTTTTTTTTCTTCCAACTGTCTGGCCTGAGTTTTTCTGTGCTCTTATTGCACTTTGTTTTCTTTCCCTTCCAGTGAAGGTTAATGAGCAGGTGTCGCCGAAAAAAAGGGTCTCTTGCAAAGTATGGCTAGAGAGGTATGACGCTGCAATATTTCTAATTCCTGTATTTCTTTGGTGTGGAAATAAAAGAGAAAGGGCACACATTTCTATTTAATTTAGTTTGTTGATCATCCTCTTTGATTGCACAGTAATACGTGCCTTCGGATGCTGCCTGACACAGCTTCCTCTGAATTACATTGAAGCGTTCAGCTGGTGCCCGAAGAAAGCTCTCGCCTCACGTCAATATCTTGCACCACGCAGATATAATCTCCTAATAACACCAATCGACCCCATTTAGAACGGGTCACTGGCTGCTAGGGGAAAGGATGTGGAATTCAGTACCCCTGGAGGTGGCATCCTAATTGGGAACGTGCCACGCAGAGAGGCTGACAGCTGTGCCACGCCGCCTGGCTTGTTGCTAGCGAGATCAGGTGTCTGGGCACAGATACTCTAGGTTCGCTGGGCTTTCTGACCACAGTTTATGCAGTTTTTTAAAACTGCATTTATCTGCAAAGACCAGAAAGTTGTCTGTTCCTTGGAGCTTTATAAGTAACCCAAAGGGAAAGGACGCCCAGTCCAGGTCAGGGCAGTTCTGCATGTACTGTCTTTGGGCTGTAGCAAGCAGAAAACTCACACTGGAACCCACGGAGGTTTTAAATGGAAATAGGGTGTGGAATTCACTGAAGAAGGATTAAGATTTGGTAGGGACAGCACAATCATGCTACTGGGTAATCAGTTTACAAAAAAGAGGGAGGAGGTGTTCCAATGGAAAACACAGCCTTTGGGTCAGGGACAAATATGAGTGGAATATGTTTTGCAGATGCTGTCTGAGAAAGTAACAGGTTTTCTGCCCTATCTCTGCTTTTATGGTATCACACACACTGTCCTACAGGTTGTGGGTATGTCTCAGGAATGCTGAGCAAAAAGATTAATATTTTAAACAAGGACATAATTGACTTAACAGCACTTTAAATAGACATACTCTCATCAGTGATCTTTGCAATCTAGAGGAGACAAGGACAACTTTCAAAACTTGCAGAAATCGATACCACTGGCAGATACTGATTGATCAGGTAGGTCTTAGGAAGCCTTGGCCATCCTGCTGGCATCCCAGCACACACGGTGCCATCCCCATCCTTTCCTCCCAGCAGATCTGGTGAGAAGGTTCCCTGTAGAAGTGGCTCTGTTTGTTCGAACAAAAATCTGTTTGCTTAGTTTTGTTTAGCTTTGTATTCGTTAGTTCTAGCAACTATAAACTCATGCAAACAATATGATAGTGGCATGTCTAATAAATAATAAATACAGTTCTCGCTGTATTTATTGTGTAAAACAAAATAAATACTGAAAGCATCCTCAGCTTGTTGAAACTTGGGGAAGTCCCCAAGTGAGCAATAACAAATAAAACTTGCTATATTCCTGAAGGGGACTGCACTTCCTATCTAACAAATAAAGGTAGTATCTGTGTAAGTACAGTCCATGTAAGTTGATTGGAGATGAGCATATACCTAATGCTAAAAAATTATTTAACTGTTTAAGAGCTAAGTCAGAAATAGCTAGCAT